TGGGGACGATCCTTGGTCGATGTGCCATAGCAGCACATGCCTCAGATGCTTGGTATACTGAGAAAGCCTTTATGAGCCAATATTGTATCTTTTCTATTTCTTTCTCTACTAGCACCGTAAACCGTCTTTCTATAGTTCCCTCATGTTTTGTATTCCCTCTGTAATTAGTTAGTTTACAGAGGGAGTACATCATACAATCTGGATATCCTACAAAGATTCAATGATTATATATTTTACAACATTCTTCCGTGTAGCTTGAAAATCATACTACCAACATCAACTTGACCCCTATTTCCCCCCAACTAACCTACCTATTATCACCTAACCATATGGATTCTACACATGGTTTCTCTCGATTGTCATCGTACATAACTAGTCAGTGGTGAGTGATAAACCATTTCCTATGCAGTAGAGATAATTTTCACTACGATGCACTGGAAGATTTTTACTGAAGCACATCAACTTACATGTGTCCACAAAATTTGGTTTGTCCGGTACACCATTGAGTGGTTTCACCGAAATTGGGGGGTAGGTTGGTACATTGAGATCAGATGGTCATGCACTCTCAATCTCTTTTGTTGAGTAAATGCACTCCTAATTTTGTTGCATCTGGGAGCAAAGTAGTATTGGAGGTAAATGGGAGTAAAATAGTAATGCATGCATTGAATATTACAAGCTTATGGTTGATATCAAGATCACATCGTATCATATGTGTTCACTGTTATGTGCACAATGTACGCATGGTTTACGACCACTTGCTATGTGCTCAGTTGGTGTAGTTGTCACCATGGGCGGAGCTAGGCCCCAAGCACCTAGGACCACCTCTGAGGCCTGGGATCTTTTTCTTCCCCATGTATACATAGATAATGTATTTGAAGGGTGGAGGGAACTGCTAGCCAACCCAATAAGTGCAACTCAAACATCTCCCTACCTTTGTGAGGTCTACTCCTATTCAGTCCAACTTGTTTTTTCGAGAAAGGCCCACTTTGACAACTTTATAGTTCAGTTTCAGACTTGATAAATCCTGCTTAGACCCAATGCCAACGATGGATACATGACTAAAGTATTGGTCTAGACTTAACATTCAACGACTTCGATCCCTTTATAGTTGTGCGATATTATGCAATTACTATGCTACCATCACAATTCCCTTTTCTGTGTCTTAAACTCTTCGATTGATGTGGTCACGAAAGCTCAAATCAACAAAATGAATGATTTGGTACTATCCCTTGTATCCTTATACTTCGTTTATATCATGCTTTATCTACTTCATTGCATTGTTGATTATACCAGACCGCCCCCGCGTCGCCTCCTGCTAGGGCGACTCGGGCGCACCCCAAAACCTAGCGGCCGCTAGCCCGCACTCCCTCCTCCCCTCCCTTTGCCGCCGCCGGGGGACGCCGCCGGTCTAAGTCCGGGGCCAACGGCGGTGGCGGAGGACATCACCTCTCTCCCGCATCTCTGGGGTTGTGCGGAGTCCTGATTTGTATGGAGACGTGTTCGATCCGATCTGCGGCGTGGCGACGGCACGGGCCGCAGACACGGCGGCAGCGGCGCGGCGGCATCTGAGGCGGTGCACGACGCGGGCGCTGCAGTTGGCGGCGGCGGCGGCGCGCCATCTGCCTTTGGATCGACGACGGCGGCGG